TCCTACCTTATGCTTTTAAGTTCAAATCACCACCTATAATACTCCTAATTTTTAAAAGGATAGTCTCTGTATTTTGATTATTATTTTATTGGATTTTTATTTGTTTAATTATTAATTATTTGTTTACTTGGTTATTCTGGTTGTTTAATTGATTACTTGCCTTTGTTTATTTATATCTTGCCTTTGTTTATTTATTTGGTGTGTTTAATTGATTAATTGATTGGTTAGGTTTATTAAATGGTATTAAAATTAAATTGTTAATGTTATTATATTTTTGTTCATTCACTATTTTATTTTATTTTCGTAATATTTTTCTTGGAATGATAATTTTAGGTTATTAACTTAAATACGTTTATATAGCCGACACTTTATCGTAGGTTTTGTTGTGGGCCGACTAGGATTAAGTTTAGGGCTCTATCTCTTTTATGACAAGGATTAGGGTTTTAATATTAAGCCTATAAATACACCATTATGCTTCAAGCCTGGGTTTTACGTTATATCACATAGCACATACATGTAGAATTGTTCTGTAAAAACAGAGGGTAGAGGAACAGAGCCTTGTAAGGATTGGCAAGGAGGAAATCAAAGAGGACCAAGGAAGGATTGTGGTGAATTATCTCGGAGTATTAGGAGGCTTGACAGTAGTTCGGTGTCGCCGGAACAGTGGACACGACGCCGGGATTTCATAACTGAAATCACATGCAAGTTCTCTTCTTCCTCTTTCCCGTTTACCTGTGTTCTGTGCACTTAGATAATCTCTAGGGTTTAATCAATCAATAACTGAAATTTACCTATTTAACATATGCTATATTGATGATCTGTGGTGTTGAAAACAAATATGTTATAGTGCATGCAAGTCTTGTTCCAGTTTTCTGTCCTTTAAGTATGTTGTTTCTGGTGTAACTTTAGTCTCTGTATTTGATTGCAACTACTGTAAACAAAATATAGGAACACCACTGGGGTTATATAAAACTCATAGGGTTGTTATTATTTTGTTTTAAATATGCGTTGCAATTTGTTTCGTTTCAATTCGTGCATGTGGTTTCAGTTGGTACTAACGCATGTTAAGTTCAGTAGCAAGTTTAATCTTTGTAATTGATTCAAATTATTGTAATCAAACCTTGGGGATGCTATTGGAGTGGTATTAAACCCCTTAGGAGTGGTATTAAACCCTTAAGATCAGTTTAAGAAACCAACAGAGGGGTAGGAATTGATCAAAGAATGAGCAGACAGATTGAAACGGAACAGAGACTGAACTGGAGGCTCTCAAGGGGGAGAGAGCCGGCTCTCCTTCAGCAAGAGCCGGCTCCAAAGGAGTTTGGAGCCCGCTCCAAGTGAGAAAGAGCCTGCTCTTTCATTTTTAGAGCAGGCTCCAACCTTTTGTACGTTCTGAAATTGGTTTCTACGGCATTGTTTGATACTTTTGACACTATTTGAGCATTTGGATGGTTCTGATGGGTTGTAGGGACTTCACAGAGGGTTTAAAGGGTTAAATTTAAGTAATATTAAACCTCTTGTTATATGGTTTAAGTCTCTGTGATAAAGGATGAAGCAGTGTAAAAATATACAACCGTGCGTGCTATTAATAGAAGAAATGAACTGAATGGCTTGATTAAATTTCAAAAATTTAATGGAACTGCACAGAGGGATTAAATAGTTAATTTAGGGTGTGATTAAAACCTTGAATTGATTTAAGTTGATCCATGGGACAAACAGTGTAAAATTGATAAATTTTCTACGCTGATAACGGATGGGGGACAGATTAATTGCTTAATTAAATTTTAGCAATTTAAGGAGATCCAGTATGCTAATTAAATTTGTTTTAAATACATTATGGGGTCATTGTTATATTAAATTTGAACTATGCATGTTTTGGATGTTAATTGTTAGAATATTAAATTCTTTGATGCAATTACATAGATTAATACTGGATTTTAATTGCTAGATTGTTAATCTTCTTTCTGCAATTATTTGGATATTAGTTTTGGATTGTAAATTACTAAACTGTTATATATATGATGTAATTTACAAGGATATGGAGGATTGTATGCACCGGTATGGGACGGTGACATATTAGGGACGGTTTAACTCAAAACACCTAAACCTAACCTAACGGATTAAAGGAATGGATTTATAAATATTGAATCCTAATTGTGTTTAAGTCAAATCAACTGCAACTAAGTTGAGTGGCTTCCTGGATTAATGGATGATGGTTAAGTCATATTAACTGAATAAGTTAAGTGACTAACTAATTTGTTATCGTTTGTCAGTTCGATAAATAATTGAACTACATCCCTGATTTTGGACGGACTTTATATATATGTTTATGGTACCACGAGATGAGCTTGAGTCTCAGACTCGTTGGTTAGGGTGCGTATATGCAGTGGATGCGTAGCTGGTTATAATAGGTTGAGGTGTACCTTGTTAGGTCTAGGTACTCATGCCCACCTTTAAGTGCGTTTTCACATGTTGCATTCTATTCAGGTTGAGACCCCTATTATAGACCAATGAATGTCTCTTAGTGTGAATATATTTATATGTATGGACTAGATAGATATTGTGAGGTGTTTACGGTGTATCTGCGTATCGGGTCACTGTATGGATTGCAGTTAAATTATAACTTGCTCGTGGGCCTGACCCACTCATTTATTATTCTTTTCAGGTATCGGACGATTCCAGTCTCAACCTTGACTGTGCTAAGTAGAGACTCTCATTCATTCTACCAATGACGTAGGATTTCACTTCATGATTTAGTTTTGGATATCTTTACTTTCAGTTACTCAGTTTCAGTTGGAGTTTGGTTTAGGGGTCCACTAGTTGAATTCCCAAGTTGTAACCTTGGAGGTATTGGGATGATTGGATTATTAATATTTTCAGTTTGGAGGATTTTATATTTCTTTTGGTTTCTTTATTTAAATTCTTAAATTTTTATTCTGTGTTCGCTTTAAAATACTTTAATTGTTTGATATTCCTCGGGTTTGGACCTGGGCCTGATCAACCCGTGTCTCGGATCCGAGGGGTATCACACCACCCCTATCCCCACTAATATAAAAAATAAAAAATAAAAATTTGTGTGTCGGCCCTGGAAATATAATATTAAGGTATTTCATTTGGGCTCGTTTGATTATATGAAAATTGTAAGAAAAGAAAATAAATAAATTTTTTTTGATCACTTTATAAGTTTGATTTTTAAGAAAAGAATTTTTTGATTACTTTTCATAACTGCCTAATTTTTTTTTTCCATAAACTTGTAATAATGACATTTTGTTCATGCAAAGTTTGATGCTATTCAAATTTCAAAATTTTAATTTTATTATACTAATTAAATACAAGGTAAAAAATTATTTTTTCTTTATTTTACTACACTATCTTTTATTTTCACCTTCCACTTCTAGTTTCCATTTGAATCAAATGGAGTCTTATAATCCAAGTTGGATAAATTTTTGGGTTAATTTCACCTGGACCTTCTGAGGTTGGCGCATATTTCACATAGATGGAGATTTGGTTTTTAGCGACCACTTATACCCCAATTAGTGGCTTAACATTTCACTTACACCCCAAATGTCAATTTTTGGTGTCAAATGACTATGTTACCCTTTGACCTCGTGTTGACTATTTTTTGTGACTAAACTGTCCTCAACACACATTTCCTCTTCTTCCTCCTCTCAGACAATCATCCCAATTGACCCACACCATCTCATGTTGGGGAAGTGAGGCAAGAGTGTAGATTGGCAAAGTGAGACCTCTTTGATTCGCATATAGAGAGAGAGAGAGAATGATTCACATATATATAGAGAGAGGAGCCCAATAAATAGAACAGGGGAATCGAATATAGGTCGGCGGTTGAGAGGGTTGGGAGATCGGTTCGGTCGTGGATGACTAGCGGCGGCTTAGATGACAGCGACGGCGTGCTCGGGCGATGGCTATGGATGAACTGTAGCTGTGCACATTTAAGTCTGATCGGCGAGGATGAGGGAGCTAGGCGATGGACGGGATAACTGAATCGGCAGCCGGTGAATGGGATGGACTCTCGGCGGTTAGCTGTGAGATCGAAGCGGCTAGGATGAGGGAGCTCGGCGATGGACGGAATGACTGAATCTCAAGCTCGCCGCCGCCATCATCCAAATCCATAAGCTCACTATCATTCGGACGGTCCTTGAGCTTGGGTTTTCTGCAACGTAAGAACTTCTCGACGGAGATAATCGAGAGCAAATCGCTGGAGGACTTCCAGCTGACGGTTAAGATCTGCATTGACAGCCACCAATCGCCGTCGATCACGGTAAAGTAGACCTCCAACACGCCGTGATTGCTCTCCTCAAGAAGATGTTGATCTGCGCCTGTGGAGCAATTCCAGCGACGGGGTGCTGAGCTTGTCTTTGCCATGGTTTGAGTCCGATTCTAGTTCGGATTGGTCTCCGGCGGGATTTGTTGGGTCTTGCGGGTCTCGATGGTAGCCATTATTACCGAGTTTGGGTTTGATTTGCAGGCTGTGGATTGTTGATTTTTTTTTTTATTATTATTATTTTTTTTTCTTCTTGTGGATTGTTGATTACATGGTCCGATTTTGTGAATTGGGGCGTTGATTGTGGGATTGTGATTGGGTGTAAGATTTGGTTTGTTTGATTGATTACAGAGGTGGTGGTTTGTGGGTGTTTATGCATTTTTTGAGGTGGTGTGTTGGTGGTTGAAGGGGGTGGGTGAGAGAGACCGCAGACACAGACGAATGAGATGGAAGAGGGACATTTATGTCATTTAAAATTAAAGATATTTTGTAGTATTAAAATTTTGATGGTAAATATGTCCATTCGCATGTGTTTGAGGACAAAAATCAAATTGGAGTCTAAGTGATTGCTAAAATCTAAATCTCTATTTAGGTGAAATATACGCCAACCTCGAGGGTCCAGGGTGAAATTAACCCTTTGACCTGTCCCGGAAAAATAAAATTCCAAATTTATTTTAAAGTAGTATTTCATTTATAATCCAATCCTTTTCCCTTTTTGAAAAACAAATTTTCATAAGCTTTGGTAAACAGCGTCACTCACTCTCGCAGACCAGGTTCAGACTTTGGAACACCACTTCGGATTTCTCAACACACGGTACTTACCACCGGTCATCACCACCACCACCATCACCATCACCATCACACACACTCTCTCTATAACCACAATTACACATATATATATACACTTTCTCTCTCTAGAATCGCAGCCAAACCATGGCGGAATTCATGGACCTGGAGACCCAAGACGCCGTGCGAATGCCGTGGAACGTCCTCCCCGGCACCAAGGCAGAGGCGGCCAACTGCGTCGTCCCGATCGCCTCCATCTACACCCCTCTCAAACCCTTCCCCTCCATGCCCATCCTCCCCTACTCACCTCTTCGTTGCCGGAACTGCCGATCCGTCCTCAACCCCTTCTCCATAGTCGACTTCGTCTCCAAGATCTGGATCTGCCCCTTTTGCCTCAATCGCAACCACTTCCCGCCGCACTACCACTCCATCTCCGACGACAACCTCCCGGCCGAGCTCTTTCCCCAATACACCACCATCGAATACGAATCCCCCTCCGAGAAATCCACTGTCCCGCCCGTCTTCTTGTTCGTCGTCGATACGTGTATGATCGAGGAGGAGATTGGGTTTCTCAAGTCGGCGTTGTCGCAAGCGGTGGGGTTGGTGCCGGAGAATGCGCTTGTCGGGTTGATCACTTTTGGGACTTTTGTGTCCGTTCATGAATTGGGGTACGGACAGATCCCAAAGGTTTATGTGTTTAGAGGGAAGGAGGTGACCAAGGATCAAGTGTTGGAACAGATGAATTTCTTCATGAAGAAGCCGAAGCCGACTACCGGAGTGATTGCCGGCGTGAGGGACGGGCTCTCTCAAGAGAGTATTTCAAGGTTCTTGCTGCCCGCGTCTGAGTGCGAGTTCACCCTCAATTCGGTATAGTCATTAACTGTAATTTAGTACATATGCATATGTTTGAGTATATACTTAATTATGCTATGTTTGAGTCTTGAAAAAATGGGAACTGTGAAACGCCACATTGATGTGGATATGGTGCTCCTTTGTCTTAATAAAGTTTATCGAGGTGAACATATTTGTTAGAATACAAAATGTATGTGAATGGTTTCAGTTGGGTTGGATTGTCAAAAACGGGGTTCTTTCCATCCTTATATGTGGGATTGTCATTTGCTTCCTCCTTAAAAATTAAAGCAGTTTGGGATGTTTAGACAGGTTCGAGCAGAGTTAGTAGGATGCAAAAAGAAAACGCCTGTCTTGGGGGTATCTTAACTTTTATTAAGATCACATTTCTATTACACTTCGTGTCAATCTTTACTTTCCTCGCGTCAGCAGCAAAGTAAAGCCAGTTTTATAGAAAGGAATGCAAGATGAGTTTATAGATCACTTAGTTATTTGGAGAATAATCTATTCTATAATGGCAACAAGGGTTTGGAAATGAGATGATAAGAGTGTTCATTCAATCTATAATGAGAGAGTAGTTATGGTTTGGATTGCATATATATAAAAATATGTATATATGTATGTATGTATATGCGATGGAGCATGATAGTTTTTGTTGGACAATGGTGGCCTTTAAAGAATGGAAGGTTTCAGTTTAAGGTTTTTTTGTTACATTTGAGATTTTCATCCTTAGAAAAGGGCATATGGGTTCTATAACTCCCTCAAAGGTGGCATTTTTTTTGCTTAGTCAATAGCTCCTAAGAATTAGAAACTGAATAGATGGATGTCATCTATTTTGTTTTATTTGTCTAATTGGTATTTTGTTTGTCTTTTGTATATTTTTTAAGGTACTAGAAGAGCTTCAGAAAGATTCCTGGCCAGTTGCAGCTGATCAAAGGGCAACAAGGTGCACTGGTGCAGCATTGAGTTTAGCTGCACATTTGTTGGGAGCATGTGTTCCAGGTTCTGGGGCTAGAATTATGGCCTTTATTGGGGGGCCATCAACAGAAGGGCCTGGCGCTGTAAGTCTTTCTCCAATCTTGAAATCTTCTCAATTAATGTAGTCAATCAATTAATTATTTAATTTATGTATCTCCAACACTTGTTGTTCTGTATTGTTAATCATGCAAGAATATGAAAAGTAAGCATTGAATGAAATAGAGGCAACATAATATAAGAATGATAAATAGGATCAATAATAGAGAAAATATAGCGATATAAACTGACAACATACCAGTAGAAGCTCTGGGAACTTTAGGAAAAGTAGGTTCTGAATAATTAACAAATTTACAACGATAAGCAAAAATATTGGTAATTATAGAGGGAACTTAAATGAGTCCTACAATGGAATTACGGGAAAATTTAATAGAACATAGATTAGAAATGAAACCACATTTTCTGAAAACCAATTTGGATTATGCCAGGTAGATCTGCTAAGAAGGTCATTTTTGTAAGTAGGCAATTGATAGAAGAATGAAGAAGCAAACAAACAGTTTTGCACCTGGTTTTCTTATACTTTGAGAAGGCATGTGATAGAGTACCGAGGGATATAATTTGGTGGGCTTTAGAAAAAAAAAAAAAAATCAGTTCTTTTAGATCTTATAATTGTTATCAAGGATAAACAAGACAAAGGCTTGAGTTCTACCATTGGTGGAGAAACTAATGATTTCTCCTTAAAAAGGAGACTACACCAAGGATCCGTATTTAGTCCATACATATATGCACATAATGCAATAGTTTTAGATTCAATAATGAAAGATACATGAGAAGACATTCCATGGTGCAAGTTACTGATGACATAGTGTTTCTAAAGAATATTGGAAACACAATTAGAAATCTGGAAAATGCATTAGAAACAAAAATGTTAAGAATTAATAAGACTAAATACAAAATGTAAATTTAATAAAGTCTCTAATAGGTAATAATACAACAGTACTAATCATAGATCACTGGATTACTTAAAATAATTATTTTCAGTACTTAGGATCAGTACTACTACGACTACAAAAAAGGGAAAAGTAGATGATGATATTACTAACAAAATTAGAGTAGGATCGACAAAATGAAGATGGGTTAGTGGTATCCTCTGTAATAAAAAAATACCAAATAAGTTAGAAGGGAAAATTTATAGGATGGTCAGTAGGCCAACTATTTTATATTGCCAAAGTGTTGGGTGTTAAAAAGAAACAAGAACAATGTATTCATGTTACTAACAAGAGACAGCGAAGCCGATCAAAACTAATGTGGGATGAAATAATTAAAATTTGGTTTAAAAAAAATTATATGGAAGAGGTGACTTGGTGTATAATAGAATAGAATGGAAAAAGAAAATTTGTGTGGCCAATTCCATTCGTGTAAGGTAAATGTAAGGATGATGATGATGAAACACTGAATGAAAGGATTTACTTAACTTTATTATTAAATATAACTCTAAAGGAGGCAGTTGGAGGCCATCTATTATGTTTGATTGAAGTTCTGTTTGAAATTTAATTCACATGATTACGTCACAAAGTTGTCAAAATACAAACTTTCTGTCCTTGCTATACTAAGGTGCCCTTTGACTGGTTGTGCTTGTTCTGCTTATAAACCCCATAGCATTACTTTCTTCCGAGCTCTGAAAAACCAGCTTCGGAGGAAAAAGAACTCTTGTTTTGTTCATTTTCTAGCTCAAATGAGACTGGAAGTAATGGATTAAAGTCATCAACTCCCTTAAGACTGTTCATTATATCATTTGCCAAGTAATATACCACTGCTTGAAAGCATTAAAGAGATGGCCAAAGACCAAAGGCATCCTCGATGGTGTCAGTATCATTATGCTTATTTGTCAGCTGAATTTGTTGTTTGTCTAGTAATATACCACTGCTTTTACTATTTTGGTTTACAAGTTCAAATTTACTGATATTTCCAGATTAAACATTTCATGAAGGAACTAGTTATAGGAAGTATTAACAGTAGCTTTTCAGCTGAACGTGTCGTCAAACCTATTAGCAAGAAGGGTTTTCCTCTTTGTCCCAATTTTTTCAACTAGCAGCTTGAAAGTGCTGATTATTTCTCCACTCTGTAGAACGGTTTCACTTCATCTCTGTTCTTACTGTGGTTTTTCACATGTCCCCATCACTAGAACGGCCATTCTTGTTGATAAATGGAAAGCATGGAATTACCGAATTTCTTAGGCCCCTTGATCATTAGGAGAGAGAAAAGCCATAGCCTGGATCGTTGTACAATTGGGTGTGAGTGTAGATAGCAGGCTATAATATTTATTTACGATCAGTTCCAGTACCTTCTTATTGAATTTTTATATGAAATTTACAATTGTAGCTGGTGTTTCTGCTGAGTGTTTCTTTTAAAATTATGCAGATTGTGTCTAAAAAACTATCTGAACCTATACGTTCTCACAAGGACCTGGATAAAGATTCTGCTCCTTATTATCACAAAGCTGTAAAGTTCTATGAAGGACTTTCAAAGCAGCTTGTACATCAAGGACACGTACTTGATCTCTTTGCTTGTGCACTTGACCAGGTAATTTGTTTCTTCTTCTGCTCAGTAGTAAGTAATTGATCAATTAGTATATTTCCGTAGATCTTTTTTCCATATGTTTATATCTTTGATTAAATTTTATGGTTGATGGATGATGATTATGTGGTTAATATACTATCCATGTTATTTAACTTTTTGTTCGCTAAATCTCTGCCGCTTCTGTCTGAGCTTCTTCTTCTTGTTCTTCTTTCCCTCTTATGATAGGAAAGCAGTAAGCTATTCACAAAAACATCCATTATTACCCCTAAGGGGATTTGAATCCTTGCCTTCCATTTGGAAGGAGGAGGCTCGGTGTTACTTTTTGAGCTTTCTTGCATATTGCTTCTTCTTCTTCTTCTTCTTCTTCTTTTTTTTTTAGTTATAAAATGTATTCATATCCACCAGAAAAAGTCTGCCGTTGGATTCACCATACATTTTATTTACCATGAGGTCCATGATCTCATATTCTTACATAGAGGCCTTTTTAGTAATGTTCTCTTTATGGTAATTGGTAAACAAGTATTTTACACTGAAAAAGTCACATCCCCACAACTCAATACACACATCTAGTGTGGAGAAGATAGAGTTCTGCAAGGAAAGGTGAGAATCCTCGTACTTTTTTTTTCCTAGTTGGGACTCACACACACTGCCTCCACTGAGGTTCGAACCCCTGACCTCCCTTTGGGAAGTAGGAGCCTTGTACCGCTAGGCCACAGGCCTGTTGGTAGAATCCTTGTCTTTTCTAGTGGGAGAGAGAACTCTATCTTCTGCATTCTAGATCTGTATATTGGGTTGTGGGGATGTGCACTTTTCAGTGTAAAATACTTGTTTATCATAAAGAGTCTATCATAATTTTTGCAACATTACTAAAAGCACCTCTACGCAAGAATATGATATCATGGAAAAGAAAATATATGCTCAATCCAATGGCAGACTTTTTTTCTGGTGGGTAGGAAATTAGGAATACTTTTTATTAACTTAAAAAAAAAAAGAAGAAGCGGGGTACAAAAATATACAAGAAAGCTAAAAAACTACCACCGAGCCTCCCCCTTCTATGTGTAAGGGTCAAGGATTCAAATCCCATTTGGGGCAATAATGAGTGTTTGTGTGAGTAGCTTACTGCTTACCCATCAGAAAAGGGAAAAAGAAGAAGCAGCTGCTCAGACGGAAGCGGCAGAGGGAGGCTATTCTCACTAACTGGTTTGTCCTGGAGTCCACACTTCCTGATGTGGCGAGTGCTCTTAAAAAATTGGATAAGGTGTCGTACTGTTCTTAAGCAAAAGGGTAGATAATGAGACACTTCAGTTGGTACTGGCTTTCACTTAAGTTTTTGTTTTGTGTAATGTTTTTCAAAAAGGACACAGTACTAAGGTAAGCTTTGTACCTGTACCACTGATTCCAGCACCCGGAATTTATGGAGTTTTACGTCAACTATTGGCTTCCTAGTGTTGAGCGAAGACTTTGCTGTGTTCTGGAATTAATTTTCATGTTGATCTACACAATTGGTTTTTGGCTATGATAGCAAATAGTTGGCTTGGGTTGATACCAAATCTGACAATCTATTTGTTTGTTTGCTTCTAATATTTATGTAACATTGCTAATATATACGGTAGCTTGTATTTTTGTTTGTCACTTTATGTGACTGAGGAATGAACCTATGTTTCTTTTCCTTGACGCTTTGTTCTTAGGTTGGGGTTGCTGAACTTAAAGTGGCAGTTGAACGAACTGGAGGGCTTGTTGTGCTTGCTGAAAGTTTTGGCCATTCAGTTTTCAAGGATTCTCTTAAACATATTTTCCAGTCTGATGACCATGATCTTGGTCTATCATCAAAGTGAGTTTTGGTGGAAGTGTTGTTTATTTTCTAGTATGATTTAGTAAATAAATTAGGAATTGTTGACCAGTTTTAAATTGTTTGTTACATGTGTAATTCTTAATCTGATCCATGGGATTCTTAGCCTCCTCTGATTGGTGAAAATATTTGGCCTCGTGAAAGCAGACAGGTTAGACTTGTCACTTTTGAGGAACTAAAGAAGAAGGCAGTGGCCAAGAAAGGCAGCTGCGATTAACTTCCATAATTACATTATCATTGCATCTGCTAAAAGCTGTGATTAACTTCCCTAGTTACCTTATTGTTGTGTTTGCTAAAATCTTATATCATGTGTTCTTTCTTCATCATCTGCTACTCCAATCTCAATTTGTGCTATAACCCTAATTGTCCTTAACATATGCACAGTTCATCTTGTCGTCAAAACAAATGGTCCAGCACTCGTTTCATCCATTTATTGATTTTAAATTATAATCTCCATGTCATATATCTTCTTGTCATTTACAACAGTTGCTGCCGAGATTATTGATTAACTTCGCTAGTTACCTTATTGTTGTGTTTGCTAAAATCTTATATCATGCGTTCTTTCTTCATCATCTGCTACTTCAATCTCAATTTGTGCTATAACCCTAATTGTCCTTAACATATGCACAGTTCATCTTGTCGTCAAAACAAATGGTCCAGCGCTCATTTCATCCATTTATTGATTTTAAAATATAATCTCCATGTCATTTATCTTCTTATCATTTACAACAGTTGCTGCCGAGTTTTTTTAGAATTTAGATGTGGAACCATCTTCATAAGATCTCATGCTTTCTCAAGTATGAAAATATGTACTGATGAGTCAAGTGTTTATGTAAATATACAATTCATCATTATAATTTTCTTCGGTAAGTTTGCGTTTGGTTTCATTCAGAACAACTTGTGCTGTACTTGTATATGTTGATTTGTTCATCCAAAACTCTTGCATTTCTTTCAGCTGAGCTGAGTTGTTGTCATGTTCTGCAACTCTACGATTATTTTTATTAATTAATTTTCATTTTTACTTTTGAAACTTTATGAAGTGGTATATTTGAGGTGAACTGTTCAAAGGATATTAAAATTCAGGGTGTCATCGGTCCTTGTGCATCCCTTGAAAAGGTATAAACCAAGGTTTTTGAAGATTTCTATTTTCTGGTTGCTGTATTTTAGATGCTTACTAGTTTGTGGTTTTGTGCAGAAAGGTCCTTTGTGCTCTGAAAATGTTGTCGGTCAGGGTAATACTACGGCATGGAAGATGTGTGGCCTTGACAAAGCTACATCTCTATGCTTAATATTTGATATTGTGAAAAAGGAGACCCCTGAGGGCATTGGTCAATCAGCAAACAATCAGTTTTATTTCCAATTTTTAACATAGTATGAACTTCCTGCTTGGGCTTTCTTTTGAGAAATTAATTATCAGCCTCTTCCTCAATATGGAAGTCTGACCTGTTACAGATTTTTTTGCTCCAGTTATCAGCATAATAGTGGACAAATGAGACTTCGTGCTACTACCCTTTCTAGAAGATGGGTTGCCGGTCCTGGGAGCACACAGGCAAGCTCTATTGTTCAATATTTGTTTTATTTTTTCTAATTTTCTTTTTTTGGCGATACACAAGAAGCTATGCTGTTATATTCTTTGATCTGATGACTGGTGTCTTTATTTATAAGCAAATGCTTTATTTATTGGAACTGTTCATCTATCAAAATGATTGCTGTGTGCATAGAAAACTATAAGATATAGCAACAAAAATAATGACGATATATACAGCATGGCTCTAGACACATCATATTTTTTGACGTTTTCCTTTAGTTTACTATGTTGTCCCATGAAAAAACAAGGGAACGATTTTGTGTCTAATGTGTTACGGGGTATTTCATGTGGAAGCTGCACTATTCTGAGGGTGTGATTGATTTGGTTCTTGGTGTCTGATGTTGATTTCTTGGTGTCTGATGTTGATTAGAGGTATTTCACACGGTGACATAAAAATGTGAAAGGGTGTAAGTTGTAATATTTCAGGCAGTGATTCGGTGTCACAAATAACTGTTTATGATTCAGTTACAAAACATAATTAGTGGTGTACCTAACATCTTATATTTATATTTTAACCTACAAATATGCGAAGCCTTTGGGGAGGGAGATTTGTGGAGTGGACTGCTTTGGATGCTATTGGCTCCTCGGGGGGCATCTTGATCATGTGGGATAACAGATGGGTGTCTAAGGTGGATTCTCAGGTTGGGAGTTTCTCTGTTTCGTGCGTTCTTTCTTTGGTGGAGGACGGTGTTCATTGGGTATTTTCTGGTGTGTATGGTCCTACGGAGGACAGTGAGCGCCATTTGCTTTGGGAGGAGTTGGGGAAAATCAGAAGTCGATGGTTGTTGCCTTGGTGTGTTGGAGGGTATTTCAATGTTGTTCGCTCTCCGTTTAAGAGGTCAATGGGGGGAAGGTGGATGTCAGACATGGAGGCTTTCTCGGAGTTTATTGATGAGTCTAGGCTGGTGGATTTGCCTTTGGTTGGAGGGCCGTTTACTTGGTCTAGTGGCCGCTCGCTCCCCCCCTACTCTTTCTCAGCTTGATAGATTTCTTGTGTCTGGGGAGTGGGAAGAGAGGTTTTTTGATGTTGTGCAGGCTATATTGGCTCATCCTATCTCTGACCATGTTCTGTAGATGTTGGATTGTGGCGGGTTGCGAAGTAGACGCTCTCCGTTCAGATTCGAAAATATGTGGCTTCGGGCTGAGGGTTTTCTGGAGAGGGTCCGACTTTGGTGGGAGGGGTACGGAGTGGTTGGCACCCCAAGTCATGTGCTTGCAGGCAGTTTGCGTCTCATAAAGGAGAATCTCAAGACTTGGAACAAAGAGGTCTTCAGGAATTTGGAATGGAGGAAGAATCGGGTTCTTGCTGAGATTGCTGTTATTGACTGGATGGAGGGTCAAGGGGTTCTGATAGACTCTTTGAAGGTTAGGAGGGCGGAGTATCTGGCGGAATTTGCTAAGATTGCAATCATGGAGGAGATCTCGTGGAGGCAAAATTCTAGAGCTTTGTGGCTTAAGGAGGGGGATAGAAACACAAATTTTTTCCATAGATTGGCCAATGCTCATAAAAGGGGCAATCATATTGGGAGGATTCGGGTGGAGGGGGAAATTTTTTGTACGGAGGAGGAGATCTGCAAAGGTTTTTCAGAGTTTTTTGAGGGGTTCACAGAGACTGTTGAGTGGAAACCTTTGTTAGAAGGGCTTCAGTTTGCTTCTATTTCTAGTGAGGAGTGCTCGGGGTTGGAGATGCCTTTTCTGAAGAGGAAGTTCTGATTGCCCTGAAGAGTTGTAATGGGGATAAAGTCCCAGGTCCAAATGGATTTACCATGAGATTTCTTCTGGAGTGCTGTGAGGTGGTTAAAGGGGAGGTGATGGGTACTTTCCATGCTCGGGGCTCTTTTGAGAAGAGCTTGAATGCCACGTTCATTGCTCTCATTCTGAAAGAGAGAGAGGGGAGGGGGGGGGGGGGGGGGGGGACACTTTTGTATTTCCAGTGCTCCTTTTTCGATTCATGTGAATGGAGCTATTTTGGGCTTTTTCGCTAGCTCGAGGGGCTTGAGAAGGGGGGATCCTCTCTCCCCCTTCTTGTTTCTGTTTGTGATGGAGGCCTTTAGTAGATTGATGAGAAGGGCTGTTGAGTTGGGCTTTTTGAGAGGCTTTCGGGTGGGTAGGGATGTTGATTGCTAGTTGGAGATTTCACATTTAATGTTTGCAGATGACACTTTAGTTCTTTGTGATGCGAATGTGTCCTAAATTAGATATCTGAGATGCATTCTGTTTTGGTTCCAAGTTGTCTTCGGCCTTGAGGTGAATGTCGGTAAGAGTGTTTTGGTGCCGGTTGGGGAGGTCCCTGAGATTGAGGCGTTTGCTGACATTTTTGGTTGCCGTACTGGCTCCTTTTCCATCTCTTACTTAGTTTTGCCTTTGCGAGCTCCTTTGAGGTGTGTTGGGGGTTTGGGACCCAATGGTGGATAGGTTTGAGAAGAGATTGGCAGGCTGGAAGAAGCAGTATCTTTCCAAGGGAGGCAGGGTCACTTTGATTAAGAGCACTCTCTCACGCCTTTCCACTTATTTCATCTCGTTTTTTTAGATTCACTCTTCAGTTGCGGAGAGGATTGAGAGGTTGCAGCGAAATTTTCTGTTGGGGGCTAGAGGAGAAGAGTTCAAGTATCATTTGGTGCGCTGGGAGCATGTTTGCAGGCCAGTTCGGAATGGTGGTCTGTGGCTCCGTAGACTGGTGCCTTTTAATAAGGCCCTCCTTGGGAAATGGTTGTGGAGGTTTGGTATGGAGAGACACTGGCTTTGGAGGAGGGTAGTGGCTAGCCGTTTTGGGAAGATGAGAGGAGGGTGGTGTTCTCTGGAGGTGCGTGGTCCTCGGGGAGTGGGGGTTTGGAATTTTATTCGGAAGGGGTGAGATGACTTTTCCAAATATATTCGGTTTCAACTCAGGGATGGGAGGAGGATTAGTTTTTGGGAGGATGTTTGGTGTGGGGATGTTCCTCTCGCTCTCGCTTTTCCTCAGCTTTTCAAGATTGCTTCAGATAGGTAGGCCATGGTGTTCAACTGTTATCACCTTGATAGTGGGAGATTGGTATGGGATGTTCGATTCGGGCGATTGTTTCAGGATTGGGAGATTGAGGAGGCCATTCGTTTCTTAGAGTAGTTGTATCGTCAGAGGATTGTGGTTGAGGATTCGGATAGTTGAACTTGGGTTGCCAACTCTCAGGGGCGTTTTGGGGTGAGGTCTTTCTTCAGGTGTCTCTCGGTTGATCCTGGAGTTCGTTTTCCTTGGAAGTCTGTTTGGCGCTCTAAGGCTCCTCTCAAGGTGGCTTTCTTTGCGTGGACCTCTGTTCTGGGGAGGATCTTAACCCAGGATAACTTGAGAAGGAGAAATCAGGTGGTAGTCAATTGTTGCTATATGTGTCTTCGAGAGGAGGAAACAGTGGATCACCTTCTCATTCATTGCCCTTTGGCTAGAGAGTGCTGGGATTTGATGATTGGCTTATTTGGGCTTCTCTGGGTTATGCCTGGATCTGCTAGAGGGTTGATTGAGGCGTGAAGAGGTTGCCCTGTGGGGGTTCACATTCAGGATGCATGAAGGGCTATACCGCTCTGTGTGTGGTGGTGTATTTGGCTTGAGAGGAATAGGAGATATTTTGAAGGGAAGGAGATGTTGATTTCAATGCTTAAATCTCGATTATTTTCACTCTTTTTTGTTGGGTTTTAGGGAGAGATCATAGATCTTTAGAGGAAATTGTAGACTTTTTGGCCTCTCTGAAAGCCTAGAGGCCCTTTGTGGTCTTCTGTATTTCCTTTTGTTTCCGCTCCCTTTTTGAGCACTTCAATAAAATTTTGCTTATCAAAAAAAAAAAAAAAATACGTCATCTCCTGGACAAGGTGTATAAACATGATAGAGAAACCAACTAGGTGTATAAAGAGTTCTTCTGTCTGTTTGGCAAACTATTTGCTTAAGCTCTTCTGCTACTGAAATAACTATTTTGCCCTTAACTAGATGTGTTTTTTTTTCCTGTGTTTTGCAACATAATTGTTTTTATACAACTATTTCTAAACATCATATAAATGATCCATTCACTATAATCAAATTTAATCCAACGTGTCATACATAAAAATAGTACAACATGATTTAAAAAGTCTCAAATTCAATTCAACATCATTGAATGGGAAAGTTATTACACCAATGTAAATTACCAAATTTTACAATATTTATTTTTATAAGAAAATAAAGAAGAATGATCATAAAATCATTGCATGGCAACTCAGCAAAACATCTTCAATTGCTACCTGTACATCAGTACATGGACATAAATTTTTTTTGTTAGTAAAAAAAAACACTATTTACCACAACATAATATAACATTTAGGAGACCAATGGGCATTAGCCCAGACCATATAAACTCTCCTCTCCAAATGGAGAGGTTGAGTGATGGAGCTTCGCTGGGGCATAATATATAGTGGATATTTTGTGCATCCTTGAACTTTCGGGGGGAAAAAAAAAATATATTGGGAGAAAAAGAAGACGAAGAAAAGTTATGCCAAACGATTCCGTATTTTATTAACTCAGTAGATATAATGGAAGTAGATTTTGCTCTTTGGAGCACAATGGCATATAAAATTTTATAGACCAATAAGAGATGAACTCATAAACACCTTGAAATTCTTTAATGCTTGAAGTGTTGCATCCAAAAGCATGTGAAATCTGTCAAATAATTTTTAGATAAAGATCATATACCTTGTCTAACAGTTTCCCTCTCAACCCAATTACCTTTTTATGGCTCCAATTTTGCATAAAATTAAGACATGCATTCCTATCTATGTTGACTATGTATAGCAATTGTCATGCTTCACCAATTTGGATGAAATCATCACAAATTCCACATTACTTGAAAAGAATTGACAAATTGATAGAAATTTTTGTCATTCTACCTTTTTAGAGCAGAGTTTTAGCCAGATGTAACAAACATAACAAATAAAGCGTTATGTGAGATTCAAATGGAAATAATTTTGCTCATTGAAACCAATTGTCAGTAGTTCTAATCAACCCTAAATTGTATACCGATAAAAAACATACACACGATAATTTATATATATATATATATATATATATATTATATGCTCAAACAGAGGGAGTCTTATCATCAAAATCAACTTCAAACTTGAAACCCAATTACAAAATCACAAAAAAAAAAAAAAAAAAAATAAATAAATAAAAGCAAGGGTACGCTTGGAATTTTATAAGTTTCATTAAAACGCCTAAACCTCTTCCCGTGTGTTTCAGAAGAGCGTTTTGGAGAAGCTAGTACCTATTGAGCTAGTACCCCCTAGCTTCTCCAAAACGCTCTTCATTTTTGGAAAGACTTGTGGTGTGGTGATCAGGTGCTGTCTCTTTACTTTCCTCGCCTCTTCAGTATTGCCAAGAACAAGCATGCTTATGTAGTTGATTGTTATCATCTTGATAGCAGTGGAGTTACGTGGGATGTGCGTTTTAGGTGCTCTTTTCAGGATTGGGAGATGACAGAAGTATGTGCTTTTCTGGATTTGTTGTATAGACAGAAGAATGTTGGCAGAGGTTGTGATGATATTCTGTGGGTCCCTTCCTCTCATGGTCAATTTGGAGTACGATCCATGTTCTTGTGTTTGTCCAACTTCGCTGGCCAAGATTTTCCATGGAAGTCTATTTGGCACTCTAAAGCTCCTCGTAGAGTTGCATTCTTTGTTTAGACTGCCACCTGGGGAAAGATTTTGATATTGGATAATTTGAAAAAGAGAGGTAATACCATTGTTAACTGGTGTTGCTTATGTAAAGCAGACGGTGAGTCCGTGGATCACATTCTTATGCATTGTCTCGTGGCGTATGATTGTTGGAATCTTTATCTTCAGTATTTTTGGCGTTCAGTGGGTGATGCCTAAGCACTCTATTCAATTAATCAACACACGGAGAAAATGCCCAGTTAAAGGTCATGCGTGTGATTTTTGGAGGATTGTCCCATTGTGTTTGGTGGTGTATCTGGAGAGAGAGAAATAACAGAAATTTTGAAGGGAAGGAATCGACTATAGCTAATTTAAAATCTCATATTCTCCGTTCTCTTTTCTGTTATGTAAGAGGAAGCACTTGCTCCTCGATTGCTGATTTATTTGACCTTTTGGACTCTATTGGTCCTTAGGGTTTTCGTTCGTGTGTTAGGGATGTGTTCTCCTCTTGAACACTTTCTAATATATTTTTCTTATCAAAAAAAAAAAAAAAAAAAAAAACCTCAAAGCTCTTCTTAAAAACATGCCAAACACTATTCAAAACAGCTTTTGAGCCCCAAAAGTTAAAAGCAGCGTTTGAAAAGCCAATCCAAACAGGGCCTTAGTCAAGAAGTCTGCTTCGCTATCAACAAACTCGTAGATCCAAGAAAACACGCAGAGTGGTTGACATCTCAACTTTGCATAGCATAGTGATTATAATACCAATTACGCATTTTATTCTTGGTCGCTAACCATTAATAATGCATCAATCCCACTACGGAGAAATTGCTCACTTCTAAAATGATGTTTTTAAGATCTTCAAAGGCACTTCACATCACTGCTTCACTAGTATCTCCATAACCATATGTATAATAAACTGTGCCCATATAAGATTCGTATTTGCATACAACTGCTTTTCTCAGTGGCGTATAATACTCATCTTATGAAACCTTTGTATTTAGTCTAGCACCATTTTTATTTTTTATTTTTATGACCATACACTTTTTCTTCAATAATTTAGCATAGAAAAACATCTTATAGTTTAATGGATTTCCCTAAATTGTAGACAATGAATAATAAGCAATCATATAGAGGTGGAAATGAAGTAAGGTTTTGAAAATTAGTTCTACTTTCTATTGTGCCAAAAGGGGTTGCAGACCAGAAGGAACTTGAAAATTAGTTCTACTTTCTATCGTGCCAAAAGGGGTTGCAGACCAGAAGGAACTATTTAAAGCATGCTTTGGTAGGAAGATTTGATCTCTTTGTAGGATTGATTATGGTTGAGCAACAAGAGCAGTAAGGTCTCTATAGGGATTAGGGTGTCAGAGCTTCCTGATTCTTTATTGCATTCAGACTCCCAGCTGAGGATAAGGCTGAGACAAGGAGAGCATTGAGGATTAGTGAGAGGAAGATGTGTGAGGCAATGCTGCTCTTGGATGTGTGTTCCTCTAGGTTGGGGTGTTTACTGTTCAGTTGTCATGAAAAGGGTTGGGAGATGGGGATATCCATTGTGGGTCTCCCCTGGCATGTGTGAGTCTTTGTGTTCTTCCAAGCAATAGATGACTTGTGTGGAGGTTTCATGAGGGTGGTAGAAGAGGAAGGTTTGTCTGGTGGTTGGAGGTGGAGCTAAGTTTCCATTTTCACTTTGGTTGCAGATGGTATAACTTGCTACTAAGTTAAGTAGTTGCTGGAGATGGTTAAATGGAATGGCAACCAATGAAGCTTGAGAGTAGAAATGTCTCTTTTTCTAGAGTTGTAGAACCAGGAGGGGAATTTACTCAGACCGAGGCAGGTTATTATGTGTGCATGACTCAACTGGCTGGGTAGGGTGGACTTTGTATTAGAGATAAGGGAGCGGGGTGGGCACATGGTAGGAAAGTGGAGAAAAACATGAACAGGAGAGTTTGAATTTTGAAACAATAAAAAATCACACACATGGTTGATTTAAGGAGGCACATGGTTACAATGAGTTTAAAGGCTTGAGGCAGGATGACGACTTCGAGTATGGACTATGGAGGCCTATGGTTCAAACAGGCGGGGCAAACTAGTTCATTTTTATGAGTTATAAGAAGGGGGTAGCAATTGGGTACTAGGTCAACTAGAGAGATTTCTAGGCCTATAATCCTGCTGAAACTTCTAAAAGCAAAGAACTAAGGAAGAAGCTCAGACATTAAGATGTTCACATGTTTGGGTTCCATAGTGCAAGCCGCTGGATTGTAAGGATGAACAGTCAAATGAAAGGTGATGGATTAGGTGGTTCTGGCTGCAGTCTCAAGACACAATTATGCCGGAGTTACCTCAAAAGGGAAGGGGCTAGTTGGGCCTTGAAGGAATCAATCAGGGGAGGAGGAAATGCATATCCACAGGTGACCATCGGCTGTGCACACAAGTCTCACATTGCATGGGTGGAATTGGATTTTGAAGGAATTTTTTAGATAGGAGCTTGCCGGTCATGATGATGAGGCCTCTCCAAGTAGGTTGTGCTCAGGGAGATTTAATAGTGATGGACTGGGAGGGGGGCCATAAGGAAGGGTTGGAGGGGTGATTAAATAATGTTGGGTTTAAGGCGATGGGCATGGATTAGAACAAGGCTGAAAATTAAACTTAAGGAGGGTATCAGTTTGGAGATGACTGGGGACCACCTTTTTAAAATTTTTTTTAGCTTAGGATTAAGTTTCCAATTTTTTTATTTTAACGTTACATTAGGGATGGGTATTGTGCCATGGGGTTGGTACTTGAGGGCATATACCCACTGGCATCCAAAAGTTTCTTTTGCATGAAAGTGATGCAGTTTATTTTTAGGTTATATATTTCCTTTCATTTTATTATCTCATAAGGGTCATCCTAAGAAGTCAAAGACTGTTCACTAAACATAGGGTGAGAGAAACTGCTGACTAAGAGGCCAAAAAGGATGAGGTTTGTCTTACCTTACAGGTATGAAATGATGTGACCTCTCCAGCCAACTGCACAGACAATAGCCAAGGCTGCATATGTGTATCTCCTTACTTCTTTTACAGCAAGGCCAGTGAAAATGCAATGAAAAAATGATGGTGAACAGCATTGCTTCGTGATATTTATTATTTGCCTTTATTGCACACCTGAATTTGAAGTGTAATAATTTGTGTAAAATAAGAAAAATCATGATTATTTTAAAGGAGACTGACTTTATATGTTGGCACTTGCGCTCCAGATTAATTATTGGTTATTGCAGACCAAGATTGAGAGAATTTTGCGCTGTTCCATAAAACTGAAAATTTATTATCCAAAGGTTTTTGTACTCAGAATTTCTGAAGATTTCAAGCACTGGATTCATAGAACTGACAATTGATTGATAAATTTGCAAATGAAGATTGAATTTTAATATTCCCTTGTATTCACTTATAAGTCAGGTCTCTCTGACTTAAAATCCAGAACCCTTATTGGGTGGGATTTTTTTCTTTGCGATGACTAATATTATGTTATGTAGTGCAGTGGCCAGAGAAAATTGTTCTCTTAATTGGGATATAGATCAGGACCTTGTATATTCCTTAGTCTTGAAACTCATGTTATAATTTTGAAGTATGGTACCCAAATTGTCCAATTTCTAGGTAGATCAGTCTGGCAAAATCTCAGAGACAGTGAGTAGATAGATATTTACTACTTATAATTGTTTTGATTCCTTTATATCCTTGCTTTATGTTATTGTGTGACCTGTGCACTGTTTAAAATATTTGTTTTCTTAATTTCGAGTTCCCTCTTACAATGCTGTAATTATATAAAGACTACATATTTTTATGCTGGCTTTAAATTTTTTTTTGAATATTAATTGTTGCTTAAAATTGCAATAAAGTTAATGATTTTCTGTTATTTATCATAGGACTTAATTGCTGGATTTGACCAAGAAGCAGCTGCTGTAGTCCTGGCACGGCTAGTTTCTTTCAAAATGGAAGCTGAGGTAATAGCCTTAAGTAACATAGCTCTCTTAATTTCATTGAGACATCTTCTGTTTGTATTTGGTTTTGGATTAGTGATAATGAATAGCGTGCCTAACTTTTTCCTTTTACAAAATCTCTCTCTCTCCCCTAAGGATTACTAGATTACAGGTCTAATAAACTTGGGAGTACAAAAACCTTACTTTTAATAGACAATAAAATTCGACATTTTGAGGAGAAGTGGAATATGCTTCCTATTTGATGTTGTATATACAAGTTAGAGGTGGAAACAGTTGATTGTTTTTCCATTCATAGCAGGGTCACCTGGGAATTATGGAGTATGTCACTTTCCCTTTTTTAGAGACTGTTGGTTTACGTGAGTTGATCATTTTTCCATTCATAGCCGGGTTACCCGGGAATTATGGAGTATGTCACTTTCCCTTTTTTAGAAACTGTTGGTTGATGCTCCATTCGGTTTCTAAGGTGATGCAAAGGTAGAGGAGTCAGACTGTGCCCTTATGTTTTGAGTAGGTAGGGGTGAGGGGTCTTGATTTGTGGTTTGGAAAGGAAGCTCTTGAATAGAGCTGTAAATGAGCCTAGCCGAGCCGAGCATGAAGGTGTTCAGTCTCGGCTCGACGTAGCTGTGTTAGTGTTTGAGCTTGGCTTGAGCTTGATCGAGCCTACCTCAACCATGATCGAGCCCGGCTCGACATCAATTAGCCAAGCTCGAGCTCGGCTTGACAAGCTCGTGTGACCATCAATACTCCATGTCTATGTACACGCACATAGTTAGGGCATGTATTAATATATACACGCACACAGGTACCCAAGTGGCGGGAGAAGAATCACTTGATTTTCTATCTAGGGCATATATATATACACACACGCACACAATTAGGGCATGTATATTAATACATATATACACGCACGCAGGTACCTAAGTGGTTGAAGAAGAATCAGTTGATTTCCGATCTAGGGCATGTGTACACGCACACAGGTACCTAAGTGGTTGAAAAAGAATCACTTCATTTCCGATCTCTGCCATTTTCAACTTCTTTGCTCAATAAAAAAAACATCAAATTCCATTCTTGATATGAAAAGAGAACTAAGATTAGTTTCAGATGAGAGAGAGAACAACTTGGCCCTTGGACAATGGAGTTCTGCAGTTGTGACGTTGCCGATCTGTGCAGTTGTGATGTTGCCAATCTTTCCGCAGCTGGTAGCTAGGGCTATTGGTTGTGAGTCTCAAGAATTAGATATGAAAAGAATAGGGTTATATTTTGGGGGCATATGGGCTTGGTTCTTTTAAAATGATAATGGGTTGGATTTTATATTGTTTAAAAGAGAGAGAAATTATTTTATGTATTGTGTTGGGCCGGGAATTATTTATAAGTATCTAGTTTGGCCCTTTTATGTGGCCTGAACTAATATGATGTGGATTCAGAAGGAAGAGTGTATATATATATATGAGCTTAAAACGAGCTAGTTCACGAACACGTTCACGAACAAATGAGCCGAGTATTGAGGTGTTTGAGATTGGCCTGTTTAATAAACGAGCCTAAGAATTTTGTTTGACCTTGGTTCGTTTATTAATCAAATGAACACGAACCCTTAGCGGGCTGAGCTCGAACTGTTCGCCGAACGTTTAGTTCATTTACAGCCCTACTCTTGAACACTTCTTTTGTGAAAGAAGATTGTGTTGGGTGGTGTGGGGTATTACAGGAGGTCCTTCTCAGGTTTGATGATGTCAGGCTAAGTTTAGGCGTTCTTTTGCATCTAATAATGACCCAAAACACTGCCTGGAGGAGAGGGGAGCAGGGAACTGAGGGAAGTAGTTTCAATTATTGTGCATTTAATTGGAAAATTTGTGAAGGGAGGAACGGGGGGCCTTCTAATTCTCTTAGGGTCTAATGAATCTGTTTCGTAGAGAAGTGGAAGAGAAAATTATCTACTGTTGTTGATAATGTACAAGGGTCACAAAAATACTGTTGTTTATAGATGTACAACAGTCACATAAGACTAGTCCGAAGGTACAGATCGTACTTCTCATGACTTCTACACGTGTTATACTAATGTGTCTGGATAATGTTACAAGGCTACACAGTATGGCCTCAAGATACACCTTGTGAATCATTTTAAGCTGTCTTGATGGTCAATAGTTAATATTTTCATTTAAATGTTCCTTCAACTTCCACAAAGCCTCTAAGATTAATAAAAAGTTCACAGGAACCAATGTTAATTATAACATGTAATTTTGATGTTCTCTTTGCTAGTAATTTCTTTGTTATTTAGCTGTATTTCTTCTGTACTTTCCAACATGCATCTTTTGCCTTGCCATTTCCTTGTAGAAGTTTTGCATGTTGATTCCAAAATTGAGCTTTAATGGTCTCTCTGTTGCTTTACCCCCGTTCTTAAAGTGGCAAATAATTGGTCACTGGATATGAAGAAGTTACATAATCAATTGAATCTGTTCTGTTTCTCTGACTGCTACCTTCCACAACCATTTTCTTGTATCTTGTTGAGAATAAAATTATTCAAGTGTAGCATGATTAGAGGCATTGTGCTGTTTAATTTTCTTTTAAAAGGAATCAGATTTATAGTGAACCGTTACATAATCAATTGAATCTGTTTTATTTATCTGACTGCTACCTTCTACAGCCATTTTCTTGTATCTTGTTGAGAATAAAATTATTCCAGTGTAGCATGATTAGAGGCATTGTGCTGTTTAATTTTCTTTTTGGTTTTTTCTTACCATTCCACTTTATCTTTTAGTCTTTGTCTGGTGTTAGAATCTCCTCTCTGTTCATACCTATTTCGGATATAATTTCTTTTCCCCAATTGCTCCTTGCGACGGTTCTAAACAGTGTTGTTAAAGGCGCGCCTAGGCTCTAGGTGTAGGTCTAGCGCCTATTGTCCTCCCAGGCTCGCTGATGTTTACTAGTCGCGCGCCTTGGTTATGCCTCGTCCTGTTTGTCAGGCGCACCTCAGTGATTTTTTTTAAAAAGCTATGATTATTCTATTTCTTAAGTCAAAAAGGGTACTTTTGGCAACTTAATAAACAAATAAGAAATCCCCGCGTATGAGAGAAGAAATTTTTGTTCAAAAGAATAAACAAAGAAGAAAACCCAAGAATCAAAGTGTCAACTGAACAGAGAGAGAGAGAGAGAGAGAGAGAGAGAGAGTGAGACGAACAATGAAGCCCTAGTTGCAGAGTTGAGCGACAAAGGCACGTCAGTTCTTTCTTGTTCTTCTCCTCTACTCCCCTCTTGTTATCTTTGTTTACATCTCTCTCTCTTTGTCTAGTTCTCCTCTCTGAGTCTTTTATTTTGTTTCCTTAACACTTTCTCTCTCTTCAGTTACTTCTTCTGTCTTTGCGTCTTTTTTTGTTAGCTCTGTTTTTTCTTTTCTTGTTAGCAGTTTTTTTTATTTATTTTATTTATTTTTTTAAACAGATTTATTTATTTTTGTGCTCTGTTTTGCCATTAAAAAAAACAAAGTCTGCTTTGCCTTTCAAGAAAACAAATTTGTGCTATGTTTTATGGTTGTTGGATGCTTGTTTAGTTGATGGATTACTTTATATTTGATATTAATTTTTAGAATATTGGTATGACTTATGAGATATGAATGTTTTTATGGTAGTTTAAATTTTCAATTGCACGCCTCACTTCACTCAGGCGCGCGTCTCGTGCCTAGTCTCCAAAGGACCTCTTGCGCCTTGGTGCGCCTTAGGCCTTTAATAACACTGGTTCTAAATATTAACATTCTGTAATGATTTGATGTACCGTTGTGAATAAAAATTACTACTTAAATAGTCTGGATCTGACTCGGTAAATTAAGGACCATATGGGCCAAAATCAGTAGATACTCGGGATGACTTGCCTAATCGGTATGATATTAACCAATCATGTAACAAAGGGGATTCTTATTTGTACAAATGGTACTTCGAACTTGGAACGAGCATGACGAAATTAACGATACTTCTTTATCTTTTGAGTTGTTTTGCCGGATCGGCCGCTCAAGGTCTTTGGTCTCTACCCGGACCCGATGAAAAAAATGGGATCACTTCTTATGGACTCGTTGAGAATGATTCTGATTTAGTTCATGGCCTATTAGAAGTCGAAGGTGCTCTGGTGGGATCCTCACGGACAGAAAAATATTGCAGTCAGTTTGATAATGATCGAGTGATGTTGCTTCTTCGGCCCGAATCAAGGAATCCCTTAGATATGATGAAAAATGGATCTTGTTCTATCCTTGATTAGAGATTTCTGTATGAAAAAGACGAATCGGAGTTTGAAGAAGGGGAAGGAGAAGGAGCCCTCAACCCGCAATAGATAGAGGAGGATTTATTCAATCACAGAGTTTGGACACGGGGACGTAAAAAAGGGGTACTTTTTAGCGATTCGGCCCAATCCTTGTTTCGGCTGGCAGACATGTTTCTGCTTTATTTTTTAACATCTCTTGAAAGCAGCCTTATGTCAATTCTACGATCAATCAAAATCTTAGTTCTGTGAATCAAACATAAAAAAAATGCAGGACCTTGGCTTAGATCATTGATCAAAACACTCCAACCTTTCAACTAATCCTACCTTTCAACTAATCCTCAAGTCATTGTCGTTTTCCCGTTAAAGTGTTGTTTGATGCTAAATCTATAAATATTACACCAGTTTTCCAATCTGTCATGTTTCTGATCTATCATTTTTGCAATTATTTCAAATTTTCTTCAAAGGGTAAGTCTTTAACACTTTTATATTATCATATATTCATGCAAATAATAATTTCCTTATTTTATTTGGTACTTGTTTATGTTTTTAATATTTGAGACTTTGGGTACATCTAGAGTAATAAATTAAGTGAAAACTCCAAAGTATCATGTTTAAACTACTGATAGCGGCTTAAAATAAATGTATAGCCAAAACTCGGATTAGATCACCTTTAAATATTCATCAAAATCCACTCAAAATCAGTACAAACCAATATTTATTAGATTTTAGAGTTAAAAATTCTGTATTACCTTTTTTGGGTCATGGTGTGCAAGGCTTTTCAGAACTATTGCATTGGTGGAGCTGGGAGCCCACAAGGAAGGTGGGGCAATGTGGAGCTTGACGAGTTTCTGACCCTCTCCTGGGCTTTAATTGGGACACGCTCACTTCTCTCTCCTTAATTTCTCACCTGGGTTCTAATCGAGATGAACTCACTTCTCTTCCCTTAACATCTGGTACCATTGACTGGCTAGATCATAGTGCTCCTAGAGGCTTAAATATAGAGGATAAAAAATTCCACTATCAAGTACTAGTATCAGTTTCGGGCCTCCTCTTACAGCTGAAAAGCCGTTGTTTGCCCTTGAAAGCTTATAGAAACAAGCGAGGTATTTGACCGTGGTTTTCCATATCTTTACATGATGCCAGTTACACCCCGCATCCCTTTCACCATGACCATGTCTGTGACTTAATTCCTTGCACCTTGCTAATTTACGATTCATTTTAGTTTTATGATTTAATTAAGCTCCACACACCACAATCACTAAACTGACACAGGTTCCAGTGAGCAGTGACGCTGTCGTTGGAGCTCAATCTACGCTGCTGAGCATTTTGGTATATTTGACACATGGCAATTTTAATATAGGTGTCCTTGTTACATAGTTTTCACATGATTAGTTGGCTTAGTGTAATATGTGTCTGGTTCAGTAGAAAATAAATGTGACTTCACTAGTTCTTGTGTATTTTCATATTTCTTGTGCATATTACTAACAGAATGTTGCAACCAGGCTGAATTTGACCCTATAAGATGGCTGGATAAATTATTAATACATTTATGTTCCCGGTTTGGAGACTACCAGAAGGATAGCCCATCTTCTTTCAGCTTATCTCCACGGTTCTCTATATTTCCTCAGTTTATATTTCATTTACGCCGCTGTCAATTTGTGCAGGTACATATTATACTTTATCAGTTAAAGTCTGATTTTTATGGAGTTCACTTGTTCAATTATGAATAATTTGACAGCTTTTATCTTTTTTAGCTTCAACTCTAGTATTTTCATTTGTTTGGTTCAGGTTTTTAACAATAGCCCAGATGAGACGGCATATTTTAGGATGATTCTGAACCGTGAAAATGTTGCCAATTCAGTTGTGATGATTCAGCCATCACTTATTTCTTACTCCTTTCATTCTGGTCCAGAACCAGCTCTCCTTGATGTTGCTGCCATTGCTGCTGATAGAATTCTACTTCTGGACTCTTATTTTACCATTGTTGTATTTCATGGATCGACAGTTGCTCAGTGGCGAAATGCCGGATACCATAATCAACCTGAACACGAGGTCTGTTTGGAAGCTGAACTTATAACTGGTAGTAAAAGCATGATCTTCTTTTGTCTTTGTATGAGGTTGGTGTATTCTTTGTGGATGCAAAGTCATAGCTGATAAACTGAATTACCTTCCAACTTGACTGAGAGATAATAGTCTTGTATAGGGGAGAATTCTTGAAGCTTCATCATCATCCTTGCCTTTATCCCAAACAACTTGGGTTGGCCATATGAATTATCTTTTTTCATTCTATTCTATTATATGTCATGTCTCCACTAATATTTAATCTTTTGAAGTCTTGTTATTTTTAATTTTGTTGCTAAGGCTTCCTTAGAAGCTCCCATTTGGACTATGTATCCGCAAACAATATGGACCATGGAATGTCTTCTCGCGTATATCTATTTATTTCATCTAACACTATACTCTATAGTAAATAAGTATGAGTGAAGGACTAATCCTTGGTGAAGTCCCACTTTTATAGAAAAATCATTAGTTTCTCCACATATAGTATGAACTCTATTCTTTGTCTCATCATACATATCCTTGTTTAAAGGGACTAGTTTTCTTTGCAACACCTACCAAATTACTTCTCTTGGTACTTATCATATGCCTTCTCTTAGTCAATAAAAATCATATGCATATTTTTCCCCTTCAATAATTTTCTTTCAACTACCTATTTAATTAAATGGCCTCCATAGCAAAACTTATTTTCTTATTCCCTTTAATTGACTCACTCGTCACAATTCTAATATGCTTGCAGGTATTTGCCCAGTTACTGAAAGCACCTCGAGATGATGCCGATGCAATCATTAAGGAAAGATTTCCAGTACCTCGTTTGGTCATTTGTGATCAACATGGTTCCCAGGTCATCCTCTCTATACTTTTGCATTAACACATGTAGAAACAAATTTAGCTGCAGTTGTGGGTAACATGAGTCGTGTTTTATCCTCGATGCCTTAAAAAAATTGTCTATATATGTATGTATGGATTTCTCTGGCTTTTAGGTGTGACCCTTATCATTAGATGTAAATTGCTTCAAATTGGTAGATGCTTTTTGGCAACTCAGGAACCCAGTCCGTGCATAAAGCCGCCTGACTAATTTTTTCTTAGTTTATTTGGTTCCGCCATGTCTTCAAAATAAGGCATGAAGGCTGCTCTTCTGCAAATCAATAGGAAATTTTCTTTCACAAACTAGATAGGGGGAGGCAACTGATTCTCGCTGAATCAGATTTGTTTGATTCCCTAATGGTACCTTAACCAGTCTCTAAAACTAGGACTCACCTCTGGAATATGAGTTTGCTACTTCATTTTTGTTGCTTTAGCTAGAAATCATTGCAAAACACTAATTGCAGCAGACCTATGAACTATGAAGTCATTTCTTGGTTCCCAATTGAGTTAATTATGGGTGGAATATTCTTTTGTGTCGTTCTTATGTTATTGGCTCCAAATGGTTCTCTTTTAAGTACAATGTTTCAGTTGTTACTTTGCTCCCAAATCACAGCAAATGATTAGTCCAACTGTCTGGAATATGTTTTTCTATAATTGTTCTTGAATTTATGCAGGCCCGTTTTCTGTTGGCCAAATTGAACCCTTCTGCGACATACAATTCTGCGTCTCCTGCTTCTGGAGGGGATATCATCTTTACAGATGATGTCAGTTTTGAGGTCTTCTTGGATCATCTTCAGCGGTTAGCTGTTCAATAATTTCTTAAATCATTTTCAGAAATTAGCAGTTAAATAGAATATACGACCCGACTTTCTCCAATTTTGTAAAATCAATTTCTGAGTCGATTGTACAGTAGTAATGCATGTGATCTTCTCTTATATCTGTGAGCTCTCTCATCTTGGCGTAGTTATTTAAAGCTTGTAATGCATTTTTGGTAATCTCAATAATATTGTGTGGTACATTATTCATGAATTCACTCAATGTGAAATTATTTGTCACCCAGAAAAAAAACTCATTGTGCTTGCTTTCTCCCTCCCTTCTCGGTGTTACGTATCCGAATCACAAAGCTTTTCACGAGGTAAGCTTGCTTCTTATTGGAGCCTCTTGGTTGCGTTCAATGGTGCATTTCCCACTGTGAGTTGGGTTCTCACCATTCGCATTTTCCGTAGCCTTTTGGTTGAAGATTATAATTTAGTTTACCATCATATTGTATGGGCATCCCGAGAAAAAGCTTGTCAAATTGTATTAATATAGTAAGAATTTATAGATTCTTATCTACTTGGTAGTTTTTCTAACGGTAAACTGAATGAATGAATGTCAAGGGGATAGCCTAATGGCAAGACACTTACCTCACAACTTGGAGGTCGGGAATTCAAATCCTTTGAGGCATTCCCAAGAAATTTCAGCAATTGCCCGGTGCATGTGGGATGGGGAATGCATGCGATTAGAGGTAGATTATGGGATGCTCTAAGAGGTCCAACTGTCCAACACCGAGGGCATATGAATGACCAGTTACTACATGAATTGGCCCATGTGTTGGGATATTGCTTTGGAGGATACAAGATCATATACGTATATGTATTTTCGTAAGATCATTTCTTTGTTAATACACGTAGAGCTGACAATTTTCATTCTTTATCATCTTCTCTAAATTAGATTGGAAACACCATTTTGCTTAAAATTTAATTTTCCAAGTCTTTTACACTAGTAAATATAGCTGCAATTGAGTAACAGTTACAATTGAATAATAACAATGCATTGCAAACGTATTTGTATCATTTAAAAATGAAAAGGCTAGGAAGCGAAATAAACCCAAATGAGACAAAGGCCCAATTCTCATTAAGCCCAAAAGCAGAGCCTTTGCTGTTGAAACAGAAAAAACGGAAATTCCCGCAACACAACTATATAGAAAAGGAACTTTATCAAAAAGTTTCACAATGGCTAAATATCCTTTAAATTACTCCAGTATAAAAATTATGTTATACAAATAATAAAGTGGTATTGCATGATTTACCTTCAAAATTTAGTAAATTGTTCGAGCCATGATCTTGGGCTTGATAAATAAACAAATATTAGTGTTCGAATAACATATAAATAAATGGTTATTCTTATGAATCATCAAGGAATTCCTTTGGAGCTCATAGCCAAATTTTGCACCTTTGCTGATCTTTGTTTCCTCATGATGGTCAAGGAATTGTGATTCCCTACCTTCCATTCGATGCGATGAATCACCAAGTTTTCTGGTTATGGCTTCCTCATTCAATGGTGAAAAAACACAGCAAGCTGAGGGCAATTATCAAACTCACCTTATGTTCCTCAATCACTAAGTGTCAAGTGCCCACCATCCTTCAAATGACTCCTCATTTCATCTAGCAAAATGTATATCTCTTCGGCTTTTGGGTGTGCTTTGTCACCCTTCCGAAATTCGTGAACCTTACCATTCACTTCAATTGAGCTACAGCCAGGAGTCTTCTTCATGTTCCTTCCTTTCATTGCCTTTCTCAATTTTAACGCATCTCTCCATCTATTTGCAGATGAATATATGTTTGACATGAGTATATACGCACCATCTTTTTCAGGCTCTACCTTTACAAGATTTTCCATTACACTTTCTGCGAGCTCAACTTTTCCATGGATCCGGCAAGCTCCCAGTAATGCTCCCCAGACAAAGGCATCGGGCTCAATTGGCATGTTTGCAATGAACTCCTCTGCCTCACTTATCAACCCTGCACGACCAAGAAGGTCAACCATGCAGCCATAGTGCTCTGTTTGAGGTTCAAGGTTGTACACCCTCGTCATATCCTCAAAATGCTCATAACCTTCCTCCGCAAGTCCTTCGTGACTACATGCCGTGAGGACACCAACAAACGTCACCCCATCTGGTTCTACTCCAACTTTGGGCATCTCAAAGAAGAGATCCAATGCCCTCTTTCCTTGCCCGTGCATGGCTAACCCAACAATCATGGCTGTATACGTATACACGTCCCTGCATTTCATGCCTTCAAATACTCTAAAGGCTTCATCTATGCTTCCACACTTTGCATACATATCTACAAGTGCATTCCCTATAAAACCATCAGCTTTGATCCTATTTTTATCCACATATGTATGAATCCACTTGCCCAACTCAAGCAATCCAAGATTTGCACAAGAGTTGAGAACGGCAACTAAGGTGACATCATCCGGTTTGACACCTCTACTTTGCATCTTCCGAAAAACATCCAAAGCTTCCTTGAACTCCCCTTGTTGTGCTAGCCCAGATATCATTGAATTCCAAGACACCACATTTTTCAAAGGCATCTCATTAAAAACCTTTCGAGCAAAACCAACATCCCCACATTTCAAGTACATATCAACCAATGCATTTCCGATGTAAACATCCAATTTCACATTATTATCATGAATATAACTATGTATCTTCCTCCCCAAACTCAAATCTCCTATATTGGCACACGCAGAGAGCACAATCACCATCGTCATTTCGTCTGCTCTAAGTTTCACTTCACACATTTCCAAAAACACCCTTATACCTTCCTTCCAAAACCCCATTTTGACGTACCCTTGAATCAATGTCGTCCACGAAACCAAATCCCGTTGAGAACTTTCATCGAACACCTTTTGGACACCTCCGATAATCCCACAAACTGCATACAACCTCATCAATGTGTTCATCACATATACATCTAACACCAACCCATTCTTGATTGCATGAGCATGAACCAATTTGCCTAGTCTCAGCGCTCGAGATTGAGCACACGCCTTGAGAAGAAAAGGGTATGTGTAGTTATCAGGAACCAAGCCTTTTGTGAGCAATTCACGATAAAGCAACAATACATTTAAAGGGTTAGTGTCATTTTTGGTACCAGAAAAGCATCGAATAATGGCGTTGTATGAAGTAATGTTTGGGTGAGACAATTGTGCGAATATGGAGTGGGCGTAACTGAGGTCTGTATCGGGAGATACAGAACATATAGATAAGATTTTGGAATATATGAATTGGGTTAGCAGATTTGGGCTTGTCTTGATGATCTGAGAGTGAATTTGCTTGAGTTGTCGTATAGATTTGCAGGATTCAAGTGTGTGAAGGAGTGAGAAGTTTTGGAAATTAAAGTTGTGGGCATGTGGTGTTGTGAAAAAAGATGAAGAGAAGCTCATGAGTTTTCCAATACCGTGAATTTTGATTGGACGATTGAGCATAGGAGGTTACGAGGAACAGTGGAGAAATGGAGGTCATTGACTTTCGGGTCATTTTAATATATATATATATATATATATATATATATATATATACTTCTGTTTAGTGTATAGTGTTTACTATTTTTTTCTTTCTTTTTTATTTTATCTTCTAACGCTGGTTTTGTATTTGTTTATATATCTTTTACATCTGAAAAATATTCATAATTCAAAATTCAAATTCCAATTAGAACAGAAGTGATAAGTATGATCTATCCATTAACAAATATATTTTAAATTAAAAATCATTTGAATGGTTATATATATTTTATTATAATTTTTTCTTCGTTTTGATGATATTAAGTGTCCAAAAACGTTTTCGAGATGTATTATACTTATGTGAATTTTTTTTTGGAGTAAGTGATTTTAGAGAACCTATTTTCTTTCCTCCAGTCATCAGTATAGAAAATTAATTGGCTAACAGGCTCGTTCTTCCTTCCCTCTCCATGATATATGATAAAGAATTTGGTACCATCTTAACTTGTCCCACTTCTATTTCTTCTTTGTAGCTTCTCACTCTTGCCATGAAGTTTCTTGTCTACAAATAAAGCTCTAATCCTATTTCTACTCATCCTAGCTCTGAACTCTCCACATATTCATAACCCTATGAAACTTTCTAATCTTTCCAGAATTGTCTCTACCCTCTACAATTATCTACAATCACTCCAACATTTTAAAATCTTCAAACTTTCCTAACAATATTCTACAATTTCCACATCAACGTGAAGACTCTAAAACCCCCATTCTACTCTTACCATGCATCATCCAAACTCTCCGAATAATACTCTACAATCTCTACATCAATTTGGAAGATTATAAAACCCATTCTACTCTTACCATGCATCTCGAAAGAAGTCGCCATCAATCTGGAAGACTAACACCTCATTCTACTTGCATCCTGCTCGATAGTTGCGTGTCTCCACTGCAAATAGGCAGGCGAGAAAGTTGTTACAATGATATGTTGCTTTCTTACTAAGCAAAGTGACACATAATTGGAGGATATAGATCAAATATTACCACTAAGGAAAAAAAAAAAAAAAAAAAAAAATTGAAAGAAAAAAGGAGCTTGGATGATATATATAAGGAGAATCATAACTTTTAGAACTTAAAATCTTAACCCAAGCCTGGCTTCATGCTTCCTTCTGGCAATCCAAGCTTGTCAGCGTCCAACCCATGCCACCCTAAAACCAGTAACATTAATGGATTTTCATCAACATCAAATATCTTCCATTGCTGATGCCAACACCACTCGGTTGCAACAAACACCCTTGCATGGATAGTTTGCAAGCCTACACCCGTGAACATCGTCAACTCATGCCACCACATTTCTTCAATTTGCAGCCACTGTACCTGGTTGTGTGCTTTGTTTTTGTCCCTTCCATTAGTATGTGCCCTAGCAAAACTCCACATAAGGTTGACCATAGATGATGCTTACTTAAACTTTGAACAATTGTTCATGCCCATTCAACTAACTATTCACTGCAGACCTAGGTATAAAGCAAGTGAGAAAATAACCTCTCCAACTTTGTTCACATAAGCAACTAGGGCCTATTAAAGCTCATATAGATTTAATAATTATATAAGTCATCCTTTCCCAGTTCCTACCAAATGTCAAGCTGCTCCGCAATGACCAGAGAAAATGTTGTTTTTACAGTTAGAAAATGGGACAAAATTTCCTAGAAAATGGGACAAAGTTTCCTAGAGAATAATATAAGTTGAAACCTAATTATAATGCTCACATACAAACATAATGCTCACATACAAGCAGAGTGAGACAATCTTACTCACAGAAGAAAAGGAAAAAAAAACAAACAAACAGTGAGACAATATTTTGATCACACAAGTAAATTTAAGATCTTTCACAGCTACTTTATTTAGTAACACAAGTGGAATAATGTAATCATGGTATAACTATTCCTCAAAAGCATATCCCTGCATCTGTTGATACAACTGCTTGCGATTAGTTGATAAACCATTGGAAACTGATTCATCAGCGTGCAATATTTTCCAAATATTACTCAAAAGTAATTTTCCAATATTTCACAAATTAATACTCGGTGCTCATTGAATATTCTCAGCGATGAAATTGCATGTATTAAAAAAAGAAGAGAATTCATGTTTACCATCGATGTAAGAACTTTTAGATTCCTGTTTTATTGTCTCAAAGAGTCAACAGCATCCGAGCTCTCTAATGGCTCTTCCTTTCCCAGCTAAGCATACCCTTCCTCTTCTCCTTTCTTCTTTCATTTAACATAATCTAAGAGATCACCACTATATTCCCATCAGCATGTCTTCTCCTACTATGATGTCACTTCTTTCCAACCTCACTCATAATTTCATTCCAACGACATTTTATCATAGTACATTTAAAACCACCAACACTCATGCATCAAGTATCTATATGAGCAATAATATATAGTTAGTTGCAGTAATTCATATTTGGAATAAGGATTCACAAGTAAAATACTCATTCTCTTAGAAGCACAATAGCTTCCCCAGCTTTATCTCAATCGATCATTTTTAAGGGCACCAAAAGCAAAAGCTTTACTAGACTTGAATACAGACAGGTGTGCCATTAACAGCCTGAGGTCAGTCAATAGTTCAAGTATAATGCATGTTAGTATAAATATATATATTAAATAGGTGTGCCCGTGTGTGTGTATGTGTGAGGTGAATTCACTCCAAGAGGGAAATGGTGTTATTTTGATGCACTACGTATAACAAATTAATCTGTGTCGGAGGTTCTGGTTTAGATTGCCCTTAAATCAAGGCTTTGAACATGGTTCCAAAGTCCAGGCTACCCTCAACCCAGCATAACTAGCTCTCTGATGGGAACATTTTGTAATTGAGCTAGGTTTAATGTAATAGCATGCATATGTTGAGGTTTTATAGATCCTTATACTAAGTGCTAGTGGAACAACATAATGCAATAGGATTACTCAGGTTATGATTATCTAAAATGAATGGCAAAGTATTATAAAGAACAAACATTGTAGGTGTTGCAAATAACTTCTTTTAGGCAAATAAAAAATATAGAAAACCATAAATTTAATATCCAACTTATACATATATAAATCAAAGGGAAAGAGAGCACTTTCATTTGCCTAATTATCAAAAGACATTCATTTATCAAATGATTATAATCCCAAAAGAAAATTTTGAGGAATTCTTCTGCGGAGTCATAACTTTAGATGTATACACATGATAATCAGATCTAGACAAATTAAACAAGAGCCAAGGTTTTGCTTTGTCATCAGAATTTATATCATACGTTGCAGAAGCATGCATATGAAAATCTAGGCCGAAAACTTTTCAAGGTTCTATCCACGACAAGACATGATGTGAAAAGAGCCTTTAGAGATGGATGAGTAAATTATTCATTGGATGTATTTTGGGATTTCGCCTTTTCTTAAGAGGGAGAGAGAGTACTCAGCAGTATCCAAAAGATCTTCGATGTTGTGGAGGGATCGCTCTTCAGAAGCCAGCAAGAAGATGGCACGAACTTCAGCTTTCTTGGCCAATCTTGCCGCCAAGTTCAGTGGCAAATCAGGGGAGTTCAGGCTCCGCAATATCTGGCGATACAGAGAGAGCACATGTCCTCTATTCCGCGCCAAATCCTCGGCTGTTGCCCATATCAGACCTTTTGCCATTTCAGCACTGCACCAATAACATGAAGGCAAGTAAGTTTTCTTGGAATTTATGCACTATACAATTCAATGAGCTTGCATTAGAAACAAAGCTCATTGCATGCATTTAGAAAAAAAAGTTTTTACTAAAGAATCATTGAAACACCATAAAACATGACTTCTAAAGCTCAAGATACAACCACATAACAACTTCATCAATATGAAATAAACTCAAAAAAGTTTAAATTAGAACTATGGTACTGTTTCATTAGCATTTTGCAAGTACTTTGATTGCTTTTCAATCAAAGTGAAATTTGCTTCCAAAAGCAATAAATTACTTCCCATATGCTAACCATAGTTTGCCTTTGCTCTATAAAGGTTTGACCACCAGTTCATCACCATAAGATTTGTAGTTTTCAAAAGAGAAACACAAAAATAGAGCTATCAAGCCAAGCTAAAAAGAACCCAACTGGGATTTCTTCAGCTCTTTTGCACAAAAATGTCTTGCAGGAACTTTACCAAACATTTTGTGTGGTTCCTTTGGATATGTAAACTTTAAATTCACGTGGCACACTCAAAAATTGATTTCTGTTTTGGCCGTTTGTTCGATTAACAATAAAATCATGCACCAAAAAGAAAATACACAAACATATAGCCATGAAAGGTCACCTACTCCAGCTAAGTTTAACCTGTCATACACAAATCCACCACGACATTGGCAAGTTGTAATTCTCAAAATGGAAACAAAATACAACATACGTAAATTTTGGTTATTATCAAGGCAAGCTAAATGAACCCAAATGGGATGTCTTCAGCTACTTGTTACAAAAATGTCTTTCAGGAATTTTATCAAACAGTTCATAGGCTTCTTCGACCCAACAAATCTCAATCGCATAATACATCCAAAAAACGATTTTCCTGTAAATTTTCGACTTCAGTGAACAACAAACTCGTCAAATAAAAAATATATACATGCACAAATTCACACACAAAAATCATATACTTATGGAATTTCTGTCGGAATGGATCCTCACAATTTCTGCTCCGGCGATAAACAAGACTGATCTCCGTTGTACGGACCTAAGCACCTGAAGGTTCCTCTCTTTTTTGCCTTATCGCGGAACTTCCCGTGTGGGGTTGTTCCCTACGCTATAGAAGTTGGTTAAAAGCTTCCAAGCTTCACGTCAACAGCGTTCCCGTAGCCAAGCAAACTCCAAATTGATCCTCAAATCGGAGTCGATTTCTGGCGTTCTAGAGCCGTATCTGGTTCGTGGTCTGCGGCTAATGTTGGTTCGGTCATTTACCAGATAACGGAAGTGGTGCAGGTGCCGAGTATGCTTACCCAATTTTGTGAGTCGGTATGCGACAAGCGTCTGCGACTATTTTGTGAGTCGGTGTGTGTAAGCAAATCATGACTGTGTGGGTGTGAGACCCATGATAAAGTTACTTATTTTGCCAACGTGGCGCGATACTATTGGATAATTTGGAGTGTATGTATACACAGTTTATATATGATTGGAGCACCTGACCTCTGAAGGGTCCCACTATTTTATGCTTATCAATAATCTATCCGACTCGGTATTTTCCTCACTTTCAAAATAACGGAACTCCAAATCTTCCGGGCGAACGTTTAATGTTCCAAACCCCACCTTATGCAAAATACGGAGTAACAGAGATATACAATATATATATATATATACCAAACCCCACCTTATGCAAAATACGGAGTAACAGAGATATACAATATATATATATATATATATATATTTATTTATTTATGTATATACGCACAGCAACTCACATAGACCACTTCAAACTCAGTTTCACAGGCTTCTTCCCTTGCCATTTGTTAACTAACTTGAGTGTAAGTTTCCTTTGTGTTATTCATTACTTTCTTAAATACAGTGTATTATCTCCATTTAATTTGACACAATATTTTATTCCAAGCTTCTGAAAATTTCTTTCATTATTTCTTAAATTTTTTGTGCATATAAACACACACAAATACGCACACACACATATGATCTCTATGAATGGATGTAATGCAATACATCTTCTTTTTATGCACAATATTCAGGGATTGACTAAAAGCATGAGTTTTTTTCTTTTTTTATTGGGTTAGGATATATTTGTTATATAAAAAAGAAATTTGTTGACCATTCAATTAATACTCAAACAAACGGACACTTGCACAATGTTTCATTCCATCCATGGGTATTTATCTTCCGAATTTTTAACATTGTCTGAATATTTTTTTTAAAATTTTTTATTTCAATTATGTATAGGGAGACTTACTTCCTTTCAGAAAATATATTTGATGTAGAACAAAATAAGAAGAAGAAAAAAAAAATCATGCTTGACATTTTGATATTTTTCAATTCATCTCCATCATTTCTCTAAATAGGCCAGTAAACTATTTCCCTCATTCCTTTTAACTAACTGATGATAGGCTTGCATAAACATTCATTATATTTCGGCATTTAATTGGAAATTGTGATAAATCCTCCTGTAGTACTATATTCTGTGGTATGAAATTAATTTTTGAAAGATACTTCCATTATATATATATATATATATATATATATATATATATATGAGGAAGTGATTTGAAATAAATAATAAACTTATGATTACTAATATAACGATACTAATTTATGAGCGATGGTATTGTAACCGACTAGTCGGTGTCTCACAAAGCGTGGGACCACACCGCAACAGTCGTCGCGAGTCCCACAACTATGTGAGACACCCAATAGTCAGGTATCGTCAATTATATTATTTTTCCTAATTTATTTTGGGAATAAGAAGAAATGTAGACGGATCACATTAATCTATACAGACCTTCTGCAAGAAGTTGCAATCAAAATATTGCTTAGCCATGATATTCACATAATTCCACAAGAACTTCTTCTAACATGAGAGAGAATTTTGTTCAACAATTCTGCACCATGCACAACTTGACAGCCCTTTATGGAGCTTCTCAAATTCTACCACAATGTGGTGAAGAGTGCCTATTTCGAATGACAATGGAGATGCACCACTATACAGGAGCCAATTCTCCCATGAGGATGCACAGCAAAGTTAAAAGACAGAAAAACGAGGAAGAGAACTGATTAAATCAATTCTGATGCTCTATTTTTTGCAGATTCAAAGTGAGAGTGACCAACTCTATTTAGCAACATTGTACTTGTTGTAGAGTGAGCCTAAGAACCACAACTTTCTCCCACCTTTCCTCAGCTACCCAGAGAAAGACTCACCATAAAATGGCCAGTACACAATACAAAAGATCATCATCCTGGTAAATGCTTCTGAACCTCCTTATCTCTCTGGTGTCTCTCTTCATCCTCTCATTGCATTGGTACTGAATTAGCTGTTCTCCGCCATGTGTCAGGTCGTCAAAATCTACATCTTCATCTGATTTTCAGGTCCATATACGAGGAGTACCCTTCACTTTGGACAGGGTAAGAGCATTCTTCTCTAATACTAAATCTTTGTTTTTCTTTTTTTTGAACTTTTGGATTTTACAGGGACTTCAATCTGTTTGGTTTGTCACTAAGAAAATACTTCTCAAGAACTAAAAAAAAAAAAATAAAAAAAAATAAAAAATTTGTTTTCAGAGAACTTTAAAAGTCAATTCGAAAACAAGTCATTTTATAGAAAACAAGTCATTTTATAGAGTTTCTAGAAAATAGTTTTCAGAAAATTGAACCAAACAGAGTTTTATACAATTTTCTTAAACTGAAAACTATTTTATGAGTGACAAACCAAACATTTCTAAAGAAATGTTCTAATTGTTATCATACACATGTATAGGATCTTCTGGCTGCAAAATCAGCCAAACTAGCTGTAATACTGAAAGAGAATCCTCACGAAGATCTCTCTTATACACTCCGGGACATCCCTGCTGATCCGGAAACATTTGAGCTTGTAGCAAGATTCTGCCATGGTTTTGAATTGGACGTGTCGACTGACAATGTTGTTCCCCTCTCTTGCCTTGCTCACTGCCTCGAGATGACTGAGAAACATAGCACCAATAATCTACTAAAGAAGGCTCTTACCGTCTTTGAACAGAGAATTCTCCCTAGTTGGAACGAATGCATTAAGGCTCTGAGGACCATAGAAAACATTCGTCAACAAGCAGTGAAGTTCGGCTTAGTTGATGCCTGTGTGGAGTCCATCATCACAAAGGCACAGGCTAATCCCCTCCTCCTTGGAGAACCAATCAAGAAGTTCACATCTAACGATGATACTGAGGACAACGAAAATGATGACTATATGCCAAACGTGAGGAGGCGGCTCTTTGTTCTTGACTGGCAATCCGAGGATCTGACAACACTTTCTCTGTGGCTTTATGAGGCTATTATCAGTGCAATGTATCAGCGCAAAGTCCCATTAGAGTACCTGGCTGCATCTCTTTGTCAGTACGCGAAAAGGTGGGTTTTTTCCAGCAATACCGGAGAGGATGACATATCAATTTACAAGAGGAACTCTCAAAGAGAAGTTATTGAAACAGTAGAAAGGCTTTTACCTGGCGAGAAAGGACTTCTTCCTTGCACATTGTTGTTTGAAATGCTACGGTTTGCAACAGCCTTGGAAGCTAGCTCTGGCTGCAGAAATGGATTCGAGACCAGGATTGGGAAACAACTAGACCAGGCCACAGTCAAGGACCTCTTAATACCTTCTCAAGGATATGCCAAGGAAATGCAATACGATACTGAGTGTGTTAGGAGGATTTTGAAGAATTTCTACTGTCACTACACTCGGCAAGACGCGTCTGGATTAATCATGGTAGCGGAACTTGTTGATGAATTCTTGGCAGAGGTTGCTAGTGACATAGATTTGAAAATGAGCACATTCCTATCACTCGCAGAGATGTCGGTTTCAGCATCAGCAGGTACCCAAAGAAACTCTGACGGAATCTACAGGGCTATTGACATATACCTCGACAAGCATAGGTATCTAACAGAGTCGGAGAGAGAGGAGGTGTGTCAGGTGTTGGATTGCCACAAGTTGTCCCCGGAAGCTTGTGAACACGCTGCACAAAATGATCGATTGCCACTGCGAATGGTGGTGCAGATCTTGTTTGTGGGGCAGTTGCAGCTGAGGGACACTATCGTGAAGGAGGTGCAGGGTTCGGATGACAGATTAAGAAAATTAGAGGAAGAGGAAGCCGCAGAGGAGGAGGAGGAGGAAAAGAGAGCAAAGATAGGGTGTGGTGAGGAGGAAATGAGGGTAGAGATGGAGAAAATGAGCAACAAAGTGATAGAGTTAGAGAGTGAGTGTCATGAAATGAGGAGGAAGATTCAGAGTGATTGCTCCAGTAGAGTGGAAAAGGAGAAAGGTAGCATGTGGAAGGAAATGAAGAGGAAGTTTGGGTGCATAAGCAGCAGTATGCATGATTGTAATAATTGTCATGTGAAGAAGAAGAAGAAGAAGGTGCATCCAAGGTGAGGACTATGAACATGTAGTTCTTTTCTTGCTCTTGCTTTTAACTTATAGGGATTTATTTATTTATTTTATCAGCAATCTTTCACTAATAAACCTGCTAACAGAACTAGTTCATTTGACTTGCTGCAACTTTCATCGGCTCTTGTTAATTTATTGATTGATGTGAACTTGGAAAGCTAATTCAATGGTTCTTATTATTTGTGGTTAAGTCAATTGGTCAACATTATGCTAGGAGATCTCTGGCTTGAAATATTTATGTTCAAGATCACTTTATAGCCCATGTGTTATTGATTGGAAGTAACTAAACCCTTGATGTGATTCACATTGCTGTTGTAGATTTGTTCTTCGTCACTCTTCTATTGCTACACATTTTACCAATCAAACGTCGGTATGTCCATCCTAAACAAATCATCCAACAAGTGCAAATGTGTCTAATTTTTTTTTTTTTTTTTTTCAATGTTTATTCTTTTTCTTCTCGAAGTCCCTAAGTAGTTATTAATCATATTATCTGTAGAAATGAAGGTTTGTATATATTAAATATAGAGATATAGAGAGAAGGAGAGACAGCGAGAGAGAGAGAGACTAAATTGCTTAGCCCATTTTCTCATATATTTTTAACCCTAAAACATAAAGGGAGTTATATACAATACAATAAAGGCCTAATTACATAATGGCCACAAACCCTATATCTAATTACAATAAGACCCCAGCATAAACACATATATACATATAAGTGTTTCAACACTCCCCCTCAAGCTGGAGAATATATATCATATAATTCCAGCTTGGAACAAATTATTTTTAACCGATTATGACCAAGAGCCTTAGTAAACATATCAGCTAATTGATCTTTAGACTTTACGAATGGAGTAGAAATGTTTCCACTCAATATTTTCTCTCGAGTGAAGTGACAATCAACTTCAATGTGCTTGGTTCTTTCATGAAAATCCGGATTGGATGCGATGTGAATAGATGCTTGGTTATCACAGAACAGTGGAATAGGAGTCTTGACTATTAACCCAAGTTCTTCAAGAAAATGTTGTATCCACGTTAACTCACTAGAGGTGTTGGCCATCGCCCTGTACTCTGCTTCAGCGCTAGACCGTGCTACAACTGTTTGCTTCTTACTTTTCCATGTAACAAGGTTTCCACCAACAAGTGTGCAATAGCCTGTAGTTGATTTCCTATCTGAGGGAGAACCAACCTAGTCAGCATCTGTGAAACCTGTCACATTAAGATTACCATTAGATTTATATAGTAATCCAAAACCTGGAGCTTGTTTGAGATATCGAATAATTCGAAGAACAGCATTCCAATGTGGTACTCTCGGAACACTTATGAACTGACTTACAACACTAACTGCATATGAAATGTCAGGTCGGGTGATAGTGAGATAAATTAGTTTCCCAACTAGGCGTCGATATCTACCATGATCGTCAAATAAATCACCCTCATCAAGTAATAATTTTATATTTGGGTCTATAGGAGCATCAGCAGGGCGAGTACCTAACATACCTGTTTCTTTTAACAAGTCCAACACATATTTTCTTTGAGATAGACTTATACCTTCCTTGGATCTAGCAACTTCAATACCCAAGAAATATTTGAGTTTACCTAGATCCTTTGTGTGAAACCGATTCTGTAAGAACAATTTTAACTTTGCAATGCCGTCAGAATTATCACCTGTTATAACAATATCATCTACATATACCACAAGAAATATAAAGCCAGTCTTAGTATGTTGGTAAAATACCGAATGATCTGTCTCGCATCTGTTAAGGCCAAAAGAAAGTACCGCCTCAGAGAATTTTCCAAACCAAGCCCTTGGAGATTGTTTCGATCCGTACAGGGCCTTTTTAAGTCGACATACAGCATAAAGAGACTCCCCCTGAGCAACAAATCCAGGTGGTTGCTCTATGTAAACCTCTTCATGTAAGTCACCATGTAAGAAAGCATTTTTCACATCTAATTGAAATAATGGCCAACTGCGATTGGCGGCAATAGAAATAAGGATTCGGATAGAAGAAATCTTCGCAATAGGAGAAAAAGTCTCATCATAATCAATACCATAGGTTTGTGTGTATCCCTTTGCAACAAGGCGAGCCTTCAATCGCTCAACAGATCCATCATGGAGATATTTGACAGTGTAGACCCACTTACAACCAACCGTTTTGGAATCGGGGGGTAAGGAAACAAGATCCCATGTCCCATTATGATGAAGAGCATCCATTTCATCTATCATGGCGTTGCGCCAAGCTGTGTCAGATAGAGCATCCTGCATAGTTTTGGGAACAGCAATAGCAAATAACGTGGATAAAAAACAAGAAAATGAGGGCGATACCTTTTTATAGGAAACAAAGTTAGATATAGGGTGTGCAGTGACACATGAGCGAACACCCTTACGTAATGCAATAGGAAGATCATCAGTGGCAGGAGGAGCCTCAATGGAAGTAGACGCGGGGGGGGGGGGGGGGGGGGGGGGCTACTCGTGATCGACAACTATACACTTGAAGTGGCGGTGGCACATGAGGTGATTATGGTGGGTCACAGGGTAATGAATGTGACACAATAGGCAACGGAAGCAGTAACTCGGTTTCTAAAGACGAACTATGTGAAGAAAAATAAGGAGTATCCTCAAAAAAGGTAACGTCCATGCACACAAAAGCCTTACGAGTGCTAGGATCTCAACATTTATAACCTTTTTGAGTCCGAGAGTATCCAATAAAGACACACTTGATGGCACGAGGAGACAATTTATCAGCGCCAGGGCATAATATGTGAGCAAAACACACACACCCAAAAACACGAGGCGGCAATGCAAATAATGGTCGAGTAGGAAAAACAAAGGAATAAGGACATTTCCAATTAAGAACAGAAGATGGCATACGATTAATTAAATAACAAATAGTTAAAACAGCATTGCCCCAAAATGCTTTTGGTAGATGCATATGTATCATCAATGTACGAGCTATTTTAATTAAATGCCTATTTTTCCGTTCAGCTCCGCCATTTTGTTGAGGAGTATAAGAACAAGAAGTTTTGTGCAAAATACCACGAGAGTCGCAAAAACTAGAAATAGCACATTTGACATACTCCATAGCATTATCAGATTGTAAAGTACGTATAACACACCCAAATTGGACCTCAATTTCTTTTAAAAATATTTGAAATATGGAAAACAGTTCAGAATGGTCTTTTATTAAAAACAACCAAGTCATCCTTGAATAATCATCAACAAAGGTAACAAAATAAGAAAAACCTGAGTGACTAGTGTGACGAGCGGGACCCCAAATGTCCGTATGTACTAATTTAAATAAAGAAGACCGACGATTAACAATACGAGGAGGGAAAGACACTCTATGGTGCTTACCCAACTGACAAGATTCACAATTTGAAATAGACACAGACTCAAGGAAAGGCAAAACAGACTTCAAATACCGCAACGAGGGATGACCTAACCGATAATGCCACTGGTACACAGACATCTGGGAATGTAAAACAACAGTGGAAGGTTTGCAATCCAAATAGTATAGGCCATTTCTGTTACTGCCCCCACCAATCGTCTGTTTCGTGTTGAGGTCCTGAAAGACACAAGACGAAGGATAAAATGTGACAAAACAGTTCAGAGCTTGAGTCAATTTACTTACAAATAATAAATTAAAGGGAAAATTTGGAACTAATTGCACAGAGGATAAAGAAATGGATGGGGTTAGTTTAACTGTTCCCTGGCCAATAATGGAACATGTTCTACCATCAACCAGAGTAACAAAAGATGAGGAACTAGACTTCTGAAAATTAGAAATAGAGATGCATCACCTGTGAGATGGGTAGAAGCCCCAGAGTCAATAACCCAAGCGGATGCTGAAGTTTGTAAGTCGGGTAAGCATGCAATATTACCTGATTGCGCAAAATTAGCTACATCAGTAGAGTTGGGATGTGTCCGGTTGACCAATGCACTGAACTCAGCTCGTGATAGTGATAGTGTCACAGTGTCACTAGTAGATGCAGGTGATGGTAATCCAGAAGTCTGACCAAGAGAGGGATGAGACCCTGCAAGGTCAGAGGAAGACACTGCTTGATTTGCCCATGCTGGTTTCCCATGAAGAGTCCAACAGTTCTCAACAGAATGGTTAGTACCCTTACAGTGGCTGCACATACGAGTGTCACTACGGCCACGACCACGGCGATTGCGACTTCTATCACGACCACTACCGCTACGAGAACTACCTGAATTTCCACCATACCCTCTATTGCCAGTAGGAGTATCACCTAAATTTCCACCATACCCTCTGTTGCCACTAGGATTATCACGACCTCTAGAGGACTGTGGAAAAATAGAAGGAATCATCATAGCTGAATTTTCTTTTACTCCAGTGGGCGTCACATGTGATTGTTCTGAAACCCTAAGTAAACGGGGAATAAATGTTACCCAAAGATGGGAGTCCTCTATCACCCGCAAGAATCTGGTCCCGAATATTATGAAGGTTCGGGTGCAAACCAGCAAGAAAAATAGAAACAGAAAATTCCTCACGTTGTCGCTTGAGAACATCAGGATCAGTAGTCGAGGGGTGGTACTGATTTAACTCATCTAACAGGCTTTTGAAATTACTGTAATACTTACCAAGGCCTTGACCAGAGAAGTCAGATTGACGAGAATGAAATATCTTTTCATATAATGAATATATGCGAGAAACATTTGTGTCCATAGAGTAAGTTTCTTTAACTGCATCCCAGATTGCCTTGGCAGTGTTGACAAACATAAAAGTGGATGCAATTGAAGGTTCCATACTGTTCCACAACCAGGACATAACCATATAGTTATCAGTTTCCTACTCCTTATATGTTGCTGATGTTTTTGATGGAGGATTAGTTGTAATAAGTTTCAGCTTTCGTCGGGCACCTAAAGAAATCTTTACTGCTTGAGCCCATAGTAAGTAATTGGAATTACTTAATTTCATAGATGTAATTTGCAGCCCAACAGGATCAACATATGTTGCAGAAGATTTAACTCCAGTAGACCCAGAAGCAACATTTGAATCGTCCGG